GAGAGAGAGAGAGAGAGAGAGAGAGAGAGAGAGAGAGAGAGAGAGAGAGTGTGTGATCGAGCGAGAGAGAGAGGGAGGGAGAGAGAGCGAAGGGAAGAGAGAGCAAGAGTGAGAGAGCGAAAGAGAAAGAATGAGAGACAACGAGGGAGAGCGAACGCGGCGATGGGAGGGTGCTCTTGATTCGTTTGCCCCTGAGTTTAGCATCAGAACACCTGCTGTCAGGTGAGCGCTGTCGCTCTGCGGCACTTGTTTAGCATTATATTTTATTGAAACGCTTCAAGTGGCTGTGGCCTGAGTCAGTGAGAGGGGTGTTCGCACTGACCAGTGTTGCGAGCAGCCATAGGCACTTGGGACAGAGTCAGTAAAAACTGAAAATCATATGAATGCACATTCACAAATACTACCTCTCAATTACACTTCCACTGTTGTGTCACTGTATATCAACTTGCTTTCACAAAAACTAATGCAGAACTAGCCGCTCCCGCACTCGCCGCTTCGAGTGTGCTGTGTCGCCATTGTAGTGTAATTACTAATATAATATATATAGGAAGGTGGGAAACTGTTACGCGATTTTCGTCGATCACTCATTGCTTCTTTCACATTCGTGGAGCATGATTGGCGACTGGAGCAGACTGGAGACAACTGGAGATGACGCGATCTGCCTGCAGCCAATCACGCTCCGCGGTGCCCGACGCGGGGCCATTGGACTCGTGAACGGTATACATTTCTGCAGAATGTGAAATAACCGCGGGACTTCTGAGTTGGAAGTCACATTACAAAGGACTGTTGCACTTATCAGCCACGGTACTTACATAGTTGTGTTCAGTGGACTATAGAGGGCAGAACGAGCCAAAAATGGAGGTCGAGGAAGTGTGAAATGTGAAAGAAGCGACAAGTGATCGACGAAAATCGTGTAACAGAGTTTCCCACCTTCCTATATATATTATATTACACTACAATAGCGACACAGCACACTCGAAGCGGCGAGTGCGGGAGCAGCTAGTTCTGCATTAATTTTTGTGAAAACAAGTTGATATACAGTGACACAACATCGGAAGTGTAATTGAGGGGTAGTATTTATGAATATGCGTTCATATTATTTTCAGTTTTTACTGACTCTGTCCCAAGTGCCTGTGGTTGCGAGTTTACCAAATTGCCTGCTTGAAGCCTAGACTAGAGTGGAGATAGGTCAGCTCAGCTCGTGGCAAACTATACACTGACGCTTAGTAAACAACTGCCATGGAATTGCAAATTGTATTATGTTTCTTTTGTTTTTGTGTGAAACTTCAAACTACTAGTCACTACTATGGGTTTGTTGATAGACCATCAATCCGTGTATCGTAAGTGGTCTAACGTATCAATATGTGTGTCGTCAAGGTTTGTATTGTGATACATCGATATATTGATGAATCGTCCCACCTCACTGTGTATGTACTGTAGTGTTTAAACTGTTTTACACTTTGTGTTTTCAAATTATTTTATGTATTATTTCAGGATATCTTAGTCGGACCAAGCAATCCATAGACACATCCAATAAATAGCCAACCAAATGAAATGGCCCTCTTCGCAGTGAGCAGGTACAGAATTCATTTTCCAGGTTTTTTCACATAATTACTTAATTGTCGATAGACAAAATAAATAGATAAATAACCTCACAGTATTGGGGACACAGCTGGATGGTACTAAGTCCAACGTCTATTAGCTCGTTATACTGTAAAATACAAAACTATAACTCTAGCTGTTTCTTCATGTTTCGCGATTATCCCCAATAACTATTTAGCAGTTGTGGTTTACTCAGTGTTTGATTATTTTAAGTTTAAACGCAATGTTCAACATATTTTTGGCTAAAAAATGTTTACCTTAAATTTTCACCTATACAGGTTTTTAGGGGAAGATCAGCCCAAAGAAGAAAATAAAGAGGGCAGTAGTGAACTGCTACAGAAAATTTTGGAGCAGGCAAAGGCTAGACACAATCAAAGACAAATAGAGAACAGTTCAATTAAAAACAAAGTAATATGTGGTTCAGAGTCTATAGAAGATAAACATGCTAAATTAAAAGTATCAAAACTAAAGCTAAATGAGGAACAACACGTCAGTGCAGAAGAGCCAGTGCACAAGAAGAGAAGGAAAGAAAAAACATTCGGTGCTAATGATACACCCTTCGTAGATAACAAACAAGATGCTGCTAAAGGCTCGCCTCATAAAATCTGTGAGGGTAAAACAATTTCGGACAAGTGCGAAGAAGCAGCTGATAGCATTCACATTGAGAGTAATATCAGTGATGATGCTACAATGGTGACGAAGAAAAAGAAGGCGAAGAAAAGAAAGAAGGAACTTGCATCAGAAGAAATGAATAATAATTCAAAAAATACTGAATCAGATTGTAAGCAGACTTCAGATGTAAAATCAACTGTGAATGAAAAGAAGAAAAAGAAGGGTGAAAGGGGTGATAAAAGTAGAAAGTTTTCAGATAACACTACAACAGTAACTAGCGAAAGCAAGGAAACACTTGATCATGCATCTGACGTATCATCACATACAAACAGCATTAGTGATGAAACTGGAACATCATTGTTGGATATTAATTCACCAGAAAAGATAGGTAATGGTAATAGTGGCTTCACAGTTATTAGTGATATCAAGGCGACGGGACGGGATGCAGTGCAGCGCGTTCTACCAGAATGGCTTAGCCAACCAACTGTCATCACTGTCAACTTGCAAGATGAGAAGGAAGGGCTTGATGCTGTACCACAGCTGGACAAGCATCTTGTAGACAAACTGAAAGAGAAGGGCATTCATTACTTCTTTCCTGTGCAGAGGCAAGTTATTCCAGTTCTCCTGGACTCGGTTCGGTATGGTTTCGCGATGGCCCCCGGTGGCTATCGACCAAACGACTTGTGTATTTCAGCTCCAACGGGGAGTGGCAAGACACTCGCGTTTGTTCTCCCGATAATACAGGCACTACAGCATAGAGCATCCTGCCAGATACGAGCTCTAGTTGTGCTGCCAGTTAAAGACTTAGCCCAGCAGGTGTTTGAGATATTTCAGGCCTACTGTAATGGAACCAAGCTGAAAGTCGCTATATGCATATCTGGGGCTGCGTCGTTTGTGAAAGAGCAGGATCGGATGGTCAGATCTACGTGTGTCGGTCATCAGAGCCTCGTTGATATCGTAGTGGCGACGCCAGGCCGCCTGGTGGATCACATCCAAAGGACTCCCGGCTTCTCCCTGCAGCATCTGCGCTTCCTCGTCCTCGACGAAGCTGATCGGTCGATGGAAGATATGAAGCACGACTGGCTGGATCAGGTGAACAAGGCAGCGTGCAGGAACCACGCGGACCCGAACGCTCTCATCCCGGCGAACGTGACCGTTGGGCGGCATCCGGTGCAGAAGCTGCTCTTCTCCGCGACGCTGTCGCAGAACCCCGAGAAACTGCAGCAGCTGGGTCTCTTCCAGCCGAAGCTGTTCACGTCCGTTCTTGCGCCGGGGACGTCGGCGGTGACGGGCGTCGTCGAGGGCGACCCGACGACGGCCGTAGCGTCCCACAGGGCCGGCGAGTTCATCGGAAAGTTCACGACCCCGCGCGAGCTCACCGAGCAGCTGGTGGAGTGCGCGCCGGCCGTGAAGCCTCTGGTCGTGCTTAACTTCCTCCACCGTCTGTCGTTCAGGCAGGTTCTCTGCTTTGTGAACACGCAGGAGGCGGCTCACCGACTCTACCTTCTGCTCCAGCACTACGGCGGCATCCAGGTGCGCGAGTGCTTCGGCCAGGTGCCCGTGCACAAGCGCAATCACGTCGTGAAACAGCTGTCGGCTGGCAAGGTGGACATCATCATCTGTTCGGACCTCTTCGCGAGAGGAATGGATGTGGAGAACGTCAGGTACGTGATTTCGTACGACATGCCGCCGTACATAAAGACGTACATCCACCGGGTAGGTCGAACGGCTCGTGCGGGCAAACCCGGCACGGCTATCACCCTGCTGCAGAAGAAGGAAGTGCGCTTTTTCAAGGGCATGATGAAGGATGCTGGAAAGAGGGCAGTGAAAGAGTTGAAGGTTCCACCACGAGAGCTGAGAGGTTTGGAAGATGACTACAAGGTGGCCTTGGCTAGACTAGCTCAGACCATAGAAGCAGAGTCGCAGAGGAAGGCTGACAGAGTTAGGTCTGCGTCGCATACTGAACTGAGCCGTAGCCACCCTGCTAAGGACACGGAAGATGTTTAGCCTCACTATGATCACAAACAAACCACTCGTACAAAAGGAGTATTCATAGATGAAGGTCTTATAGTGAAGAAACACACATTGGACGTATTAATTTTTTATATGAGATACCGTAGCTTGCAACATGTTGAATATGAGATTATTCAATCCTTTATTCATCAGCTTCTATGCTGAATCTTTATGATACATGTACATTATCAAACTGATATGTAACTAACATACCTTCTCAGTTTTGTGCTGATACATGTAATGTAATGACTTTAAGGTTTTTATTAAAGCATAGTCGTACTATCTTTTACATAGGAGACTCATTGAATAGACTGGATACCTGATATTTTTGTGGCTATGCATACATTTCTCATGTACAGTATATGTATATTTCTCATATATTGTACATGCATTTCTCTATTCTTACTGTTACTGTAATCATAATAATATTTATGCCATGAATACACACACATGTATGTATGAGTATTAATACATGTTCATGATATTATCAGGAGTGTCTATTATATAGTCTATTAATTATTATATATTCTAGATATATTAGATATTCCATATATTATTGTAGCGCCGTATTTAATAGCGTACAAATAGAGTGGTTGTGTAAATTACAGTGTTAAGCCAAAGCCATAAAGAAGAGAAAGCCAGTTATACCATGGTGAGAGGTTTAATGTTGGTTTGCCAGAATACAAAGCTGTGGTCGCGGTCGTGCCTGCAGTGCCCTGGTTGGGGAGCGAATTCCCCGATTTTCCTTGTGCTCCGCCTTATATACGATACAATGTGACACTATACCGGATACACTGAATGCAATAACTACTGTCAATACAATGCTAGCCTACACAATACAATATTATACAATACAATCAATATAGTGTCATGGAATACAATGAATACAATACAACGAATACCGTGTTATAGAATACAATGAATACAATACAACGAATACCGTGTTATAGAAGACAATGAATACAAGACAATGAATACAGTGTTATACTCTAGAATCAGGAGAGTAGCAATAGAATAGTGTTATCGGGTTATCGATGTGGAATGGACCCCGTGCCGAGGACCCTATCGGTCAGCTTCCTCCGCACGGTCTTCCTCCTGACATCCGTTGGGGGCGGGCGGTTGGCCCGCCAGGGCTAGGATCATGGCGTCCATGGCCTGATCGTTCGCCGTCTGGCGGATGCGTGCCGGGTGTAGGGTGGTGGGATCGGGGTCGCCTCCCATGCCGACATTTACCTCGTAACCCGCTGAGTCGGCGGTGACCGGTCCAGCGAAGGGATCGAAGTAGTCCCGGTACACGATGGTGGGCCGTGGGGCGACCCCGTCCTCGAGCTCGACCTCAAACTGGAGTTGGCTGTCGGCTTCTTCGCCGACCTCGAGGCCGCTCGTCGTCGGGTCGGCGGCGGTGCCCGACCCGACGGAGGAGCCGACGTACTCCCGGGTCGAGGTGACGAGCCAGGGGCCGTCCGGATTGCCGATGTCAAGTTCGAGCTGCAGGCGCTCATCGGTGACGGACCCGACGACGGAGCCAGCGTAGTGCCCCTCCGGTAGTGGGGGCGGCCGATTACTATCCCATGAGTTGGCGGGAGAGTATCGACGGGGGAAGCCTGGCTCGGTGTAGAGTTGGCGCGGCGCCGCCGTGCCGATGAACCGGGCGTGCGGCGGTGGGGCGGTGTGCATCTGTTGTCCCCGCTTCGCAACGCAGGCGGCGCAGGGGCAGATGGCACTGTCGTAGCAGGCCCGAGCGTAGGCCGCACCGACAGAACAAGCGATGCAGGTGCAGGCAGCCCCCGCGCAGGCGTAGGCGCGGGCAACCTCCTTGCAGGCGGCGCAGGCACGGGCGGCCTCCGTGCAGGCGATGCACGTGCAGGTGGCTGCGGCGCACACGGCGCACGCACAGGCGGCGTGTGTCGGCGGCGGGGCCAGCGGCTGCTGGTGGCGAGGTTGTCGCCCATCGTCGTGGCCATTAGCGTGGTCCTGACAATGTCAAGTGGTAGACATAACACGTGGCACAGGGTTATAGTCGGGACAGTAAATACTAGTGACTGCCCGGCTCGTGCCATAGCGGCACGAGACTGAGTTTAGCGTGCGGTCACGGATTTCCGCGGAATATATGGAAATCAATGCGTCGCCTTAAGTGGCTAACGACTAACTACTCTACCGATAACCGATCCCGCAACACTCGCACGCGACGCGCACAAGTCAGTAATCTACGATAGTAATGAATTACAATCTTTAACACTGCGAGTAGCAACGTAGTCATAGTGGAACGGAAAGCTAAACCGGCAAAAGATTAGTTTCACTCACCTAGCCGACGATACGGCGCTTGAAACAGGATCGTCAGTCTCGAGCGGCAGACAGAAGTCAGTGTCGGCACTGTGATCGTATAGGAAGCACCGTGGAAGTGACCACAACCAGGAACATGAGCGACGCTCACTGCAACAAAATATGTAGCGCCGTATTTAACAGCGTACAAATAGAGTGGTTGTGTAAATTACAGTGTTAAGCCAAAGCCATAAAGAAGAGAAAGCCAGTTATACCATGGTGAGAGGTTTAATGTTG